TGGGACTTTTTTTTTTTTTTTTTTTGAGAAAAACAGGCTCCATCTATTGGTGCGGAGCAGCACCTGCTGGAAACCGGGTCCAGCGTCCCATAGATACAAGTTGTTGCTGGCACAAATATGGCAAACTTCATTCAGAAAAGAGAGAGAGCACAAATTTTTCTCGATTTTTCTCTCTCTCAGCGTTCTTTTTCAGAGAGAGAGAGCACATGGCTGCTTGACAACCATCCTGCAAGAAGTAACGGGTGAGAGTGACATACACACACAGACATACAGAGAGAGAGAGAGAGAGAGAGAGAGAGAGAGAGAGAGAGAGAGAGAGAGAGAGAGAGAGAGAGAGAGAGAGAGAGAGAGCTTTGTCTGTTGTGTGACACGTGGGCTCAAAGGCAGTACTCAATGGGGGGGCAGTCCAAGCGGGTAGCCACAATCGAAGGGTGGGAGCAGGAACGGGCGCAGCAGTCTCCAGGAAGGGTGGGAGCACTGAGCAGGAACGGGCACGACAGTCTCCAGGAATGAATAAGAGTACTGTAAATGAAAAAATGTGGGACTGTCGTTTCCCCGGAACAGACCGGTACCAACTATAAGAAACTACCACCCTGACTCCATTGCCGGCCTGAGTTACAACGGCCTTTTTGAACTTGGGCCATAACAAAGTTGCTGGTGCATGTTTTTCTTGCCAATTAGAAACTCAGACGTGACATGAACGTACTTCCCTCTTTTTTTTCTTCTTCAGGTAACAGCCTTGAGATATCATCGCGAAAACTGCAATGACTTTTGGCTTTCATGATTGCAGGGAAACGAACATTGTACACAAGTAGCAGAAGGCTTGCCTAAGATCAGAAATCAAAAAAGGGAAAAAAAACAAAGTTTGCTAATTTTTTAATGAGCTCATCTGAGTCATCTTGATTCCATGCTGAACTGAGATTTCAGCAATGATGACTGAAGTATCATATAGCAGACTGCTTAGATGCTGTTGACCTGGTACAGAACGGCTGATTTCATACCGCTGATGCCGCACATGGGTGCCGATGTGCCAACCCGCTGATGTTCCGCACAACTTTTTCACGGCTTTTTTTTTCCTCCCTCATTTGTCGCTCTAGTTTTTTTGTTTCACCCCTAGCTAAATGGCAGAGATGGATGAAGAGGAATGTGGTTAGAGGAATTGGGTGGTCGGAGACACATAATGAGACAGGCTGCCTGGGTGTCAGTGGGTGATGAACTCACCCTTGGCAGTGCGTGAATGTTCTATGTCACGGTGGTTGGTGCTGGTGCAGGAATTACCTACCCTACTGAGTGGCTCGCAAGTTGGCAGATAAAATGACGGATCTCTGCGCCGACTCTTCCTCTGCGTCGTCCAAACCGGACATGGTGAAACTAAAGAATGCAATTCACCGCTCTCTGCAAAAAGGCGGGCCTGGTGCGCAGTACATGCTTAGAGAAGAAAACAAAAGCTCTTCCCAATGTTGGCAGAGCTTTGCTCACGTCTGCCACACGGATAGGACGAATGTGAAGGAGTTTGACTCTGGTTATGTTGCGTGTAAGAAGTGCCACGCGTTTTATGCATATGAAGCGCGTCATGGAACCAGCTCACTAAACGGCCACAAATGTCGACTGATGGCAGCCGATGCCGGTGCGATGAGACTATTTGCAACGACGGTTCAACCAACCGCATTCCAAAAAAGAYAGGTTGCAAGGGCAGMTGCGAACATRTGTTGCGAGGATCTCAGRCCATTTTCTRTTGTAGAGGACCCGGGGTTCCGCAAATACTCGCAAGTTATTTTAGACATCGGGATTAGTGTTGGCAGAGCCATGAAGGCAGATGATTTGATTCCTTCACGCTTCACGGTTAAGCGTCATGTGGTGGGCAATTCCGAATCCCTCCGTGATGTTGTCAAAGCAAAGTTAAAGGAACATTTCGTTGATAAGATGTGTGTTGGGTTCACTGTGGACCTCTGGACGGACTCGATCAAGAGGACGTCTTTCATGTCCATCACAATCCATTACATTGACAATGCTTTCAAACTCCATGTTCGAACACTTTAAGTGCAACCGTTAGACGACGAAGCACATACCGTTGTTCGTGTTCTCAAAGCATTCAAGGAATGCCTTCACGACTTCGGGTGTGATAATTTTGAAAGGTGTGTTGTGTGTTCAGATAGTGGATCGAATATGTGTGGTAGTGAAGGTATTCGCAGTAATTTCAAGTGGTTGTCGTGCAGCGATCATAAGATTGCGACGGTGTTGACCACTGTGCTCAACAAGACCACAACTTCGACAAATGGGGTAAAGTCAGCGCCGTTTTACAAATTTGAGGATGCTGCACCGGAGGTATTTGAGTTAATTGACAGTTGCAAAGATCTTGTGCGTCACGTCAAGCAGACGAGCCTGCAAAGGGCATTGAAAAATACGTTAGAGCAGGAGAACGTGACAAGATGGAATTCGTTGTTACGTATGCTTAAGAGTGTCAGCAAGAGCTACGAGGAAGTTTCGAATCTCTTGCTGAACCGGGGTGGTAATAGGGCCATACTGATTGCAAAAATCAACAGAGAGTTGTTGGAGGAACTAGTACGTTTCCTCGATCGTTTCGAAGAGGCCACTTTGAAACTAGAAAGTTATCTCCGACCTGCTCTCCATTGTGTGGTCTTCGAGCGATTTGAATTGCTCCAACATTGCGAGACTAGCACGGAGCCTGTGACAGAAGTGGATGACTCCGGAAAGAAAATCGTGACTCCGCCGGATTCAAACCCAATTGTAGCTATCAAGAAGTTGATCAAGGACACGMTGATAGAGAAATGGTCTCTGGAAGAGCTGCATGTTGTTGCTGCCTTGCTTGATCCACGTCAAAAAGATAGGCTAGAGCTTTTCGATGTCCCATACGTACAAGTGAAACGAAGGAAGGCTCAATTGAAGACGATCATGCAAGATATTGCCATTAGTGTTGACAACGCATCTGATGTGCTCGAGGACGAGGTCGTGAAAGAGCGTCCAACAAAAAGAAGACGGGGAAGATCGGGGATGTGCAGCTCTGACGAGGAGGATGAAGAAGCGCCACGAAGGGATGAATCAATGAAGATGAGCATACCCGAGAGGATTCAGAAAGAGTTCGAATATTATTTTACGTTGAAGTTGACAAAGGAGGTGAAACGCACTTTCGACCTCCTTCCATGGTGGAAAGCGAAAGGGACAGCGGTCACAACGGAGGATCTTCAGATATTGCGTCCTCCTTTGCCTATTATGGCGCGGGCTGCTCGCACAGTTTTATGTGTGCCTGCATCAAGCTCGAAGAGCGAGTGCAATTTTTTTGATGCGGGGAACACATTGACGAAGAAAAGGAACTTGCTCAGTGGTTCGACGGTCAACGACATTTTGTTTGTTAGATCAAACAATGACTTGCATAGTTCATAAAAGTAAATGGACTTGAAAAACGACTTTGAGGGATGTGATTCTTTCGAGATTCGTTGTCAAGCTTCTATAAGTTATTGACACTGTGTTGCTTGTGTTGATATCTTTCTTTGCAGTTGATTTTAGCATTGATAACCAATTTTTTAGCAGTTGCATTTTAAATGTCTGACTTGTTTTATTTTGTGATGCCACGATGCTATATCATGTTGTGTGTAAATATCAGGTCGGGCATGGGCGGATAAGGATGAAAAAAAATCGCGTTTCGGGTTTGGGCGGGTAATGATTTTCTTGCGGGTGCGGGTGGGTCCGGGCGAAGGTTTTTTACGGGTGTCGGGCGGGCCGGGCGCGGGTGCAAATTTTCGAAAAAGAACTGGGGTGGGCTGGGTCATCTTTGAACCTTTTTTTTTTTTTTTTTACGGGCTAGCCGTATGTGAAAATGTTTGGGCGGGTTGGGTGAAGTGCCAATCCAAAAACAAAATGCTCATCTCTGTGGTCCGGGTGAGTCTTTTTCCATCGACTTCACGGACATGGGGAAGAAGAGCAGAAAGTGATGGTGATCATTGACCGTTTTTCAAAGTTTCTAAATCTGATTCCGTTACCACCTCACAAACCAACTGACCTTGTGATCAAGGAATTCCACAAACGATACATTCTGCAGTGTGGGCCCCCGAAAACTCTTGTGAGTGACCGGGACACCAGGTTGATAAGTGCAGATTGGAAGGACTTCACCTCCCAGATCTACGACATCAAACTCAAGATGACGTCTGGTCGACATCCCGAAGCCAATGGACTGGTTGAGGAGGTCAACCAGACTGTGATCCAACTTCTTAGAGCTCTAATTGTGTCTGATCAGAACTCTTGGGATGAGGAATTGCCGATTATGCAAGGATTGTATAACAACTCCATACACTCCTCCACCGGGATGACACCTAATCGGCTGCACCTCGGTTGGCAGATTCTCAATCCCCTATCCTATCTGTTTCCTGACCAGCCACCTGGCCTGACACCTGGCCAGCCAGGCTACAACACTAAGTTGGATCGTTTGCTCAAAGTTGTTGTCGCAGCCATGGAAAAGCGACGCAGTGCCATGATTAAGCATGCAAATAAAAAGCGCCAGCCTGACCCTTTCACAGTGGGAAGTTATGTCTGGGTCAAGATGTCTGAGTTTTCTGAAGAAGGTGTATCATGGAAGCTTCTTCCTCAGTACTCGGTGCGTGGAAGGTGCTGAACCGAGCGGGAGATGATTCCGTTGGTCCTTCTTACACGATCGATGTGCCCTCTCATCTGCGCACATACCTAGTCTTTCATGCATCAAAGTTGTTTCCGTATGAACCACCTGAGACTTTTCCGTATCGAGAATCAATGATTCCTCGCGCAATCAATGGCGGTCACGAGGTCGATAGGAGTGTTAAGCACAGTGGAAAGGGAAGAAACAGACAGTACAAAGTTCATTTTCCGTACCACCCATTGAATGACTTCTACTGGATCACTAAGAAAGACTTGCTGCAAAGTGCCCCGCTAGTAGTCAACACATGAACGATTGATTAGTTCTGAACAACAACCTAAATTCACTTCCACCCTCACTCCTACGAAACATACCCCATCTCTCTTCGCTATTTACGCTTATGATGCCTTATGCAAGGACTTTGATTGAGTTACTCGCTTGAAGGGATCTTGCTCTTGAGGAGGGGGTAGTGTAATAACCTGCCATAAAACAGACTGAGAATACTGCTGATTTTTGAAGTTCTGCCGATGGAATGGATGCCTTGCTGAGATTCCCGCATTCTGCTGTGTTTTTTAAGTCTTTATGTGTGTGTGCTGTGGACTTGCGTGCCTGTTTGAGTGCTTGTCGGCATGAGTGTGTGTGTGACCCGCAAGGGTACTTGCTTCTTTGGCAAGCCCATAGGGCCGGTACTTACCTATGGCCATGGCATTGAGGGTTGCAACAGGGGAAACACTCAAGTAGCAGAGCCAGGGGCCCGCGGTGCTTGAAGCAGCGGAGAAACACTCAAGTAGCAGGTAGGCCGGTACAGCACCCAGTAGCAGTAGATGTGCCGGGTACTCGAGGCCGAGCAAAAGAAAAAGTTGGCATTTTTAGAGTCCCAGTAGCGGTAGGCTAGGTCTAGGCCGGTACCAGTCCATCCAGTTTGAGTCTAGAGCCTGTGCGGGCAATATCAGAGTTTGCAATGATGTTTCCCTCCGAAAGGGAGGACGTACCGGTGTCAGGCAGCCATAGGCAGTGTGCCGCCTTAAATCTGCGGCTTTGGGGCTTAGGCTCAAGGACAAGTCCGTGTTTTGACGGTACCCTGGTAAGACCAGGCAGCAGAACTTAGGGGAACTCAAGGCGCCCCTGATTTTGGGCGCGCTGAACCTTACGAGTACCCCTCAAAGACGGCGAGATGGGTGGCCACACTCGGCGCTTGTAGGGACCGTCATTTCCAGCCGTTTAGAGGGTTAGACCCAGATTGACTTGCCGCGGAGAGGCATCGCGGGAACTGACCTCGCCGCAACGTTTTTGCAGCATACGGCCGGGGCCGAAATGAGGCCTCGCATTTTTGTCTATTTTAGTACCATAATTAAAGATGGGGAAGAGGGATTAAGACCGGAAGGGGAGAAGAGAAAAACATAATATCCCTTAATTTCTTTACTTTTCACGGCATTTAATTCTGGAGGGGATACCCTTGAAATTTTATGTTCCCGGCAATGAAGTTAAAAACATAGAAAAAGATTAAAAATGGTAAAAGAGAAAGAAACACAAGGAATTCGGCCATTTATTTAAACTTTCTCGGAAATTAATTTTGGGAAAGTTACGATTAATTTACTATTTCTGACGATAAAATTAAGGAAAAGGAAGAATGATTAAAAGCGATGAAAGGGATGGGAACCCATGACTATTGGGAGATCGGCCTAATTTCGCCTCGATTACCCGCCATCAGCTCTGACCCCAGATTAATCATTTTCTCTGGATTCTAATATCCTACTCCCCGATAATCGGAATTCCCTGTGTCACTTACCTGATTTGCCTGATCACTAACCTTACCGACTGAGTGTGCGAGTGGAGGCCGCGTCGCCAGCATGGGACGGTATTACCTTGGTATGACCCCGGTATCTGGTTTAGTCCGGATACATGGTTCCGGGAGGTTCGGCGACATTCACGTTTTTCGGGATTCAATGATGGGCGACGTGTATCAGATTGGTTCGACGTCGTCATGACACACTGTACGGCATCATTTTCAGGCTCGGTACTGGATCGGTATCGACACGACACGAGTCACGGGGACCCCGGATGATTATTTCAGATTCGGCTTCGGTATGGTACGAGTTACAGCGAGCCTGACTGAGCGTTCCGGGTTTGGCATTGACTGGTACGGATTGCTGAGGTATAACGTCGCGACAAGTTCAAATTGGCTAGTTCAAGGTTTGGAATTGGCATGGTGACGCCACAACTTGTTGACTTCCGGTCCGGGACAGGCTATTATTCAGGGTTCGGTTCGGTACGGTACGGATGGGTAATGCTGCTGAAAGACTCTGTCTACCTTCCTACCTTCCTTGATTCGGCATTCCCATGGCACACCGCAACGCGGTACCACTATTTTGGTGTGTGTACTAGCCTGGGACACTTACGCACGTTGATCTAGCGATTGGTCAGAGGTTGCTACAGTTGCTCCGGTTCTATGGTACTGTATGGTACCGTCAACTGCCGGTAAGGGCTCTCTATTGACAGTGTGGTCAGCGGCAGATAGAAGTGCTAACCTTTGGATATATGCTGACTAAGGGGAAGTTGGCCGCTGAGCTGGTTTTTTTCAAATCTGTGGAATTGGGCTCAGTTTGGCTGGCTCAGGGGATTAATTCTGCTACCTGACTGCGTTCTATGAGGTTGGTGCTGCAGGGTCTGAAGGGCCACACGGCAAGGTACCATGCGGATATTGGCAGTACCGGTGGATTCACATGGGGTCCCCTGCCCCGACGCCGTGGCCACTCCGGGCCTAAGGGCTTAGCCGCTCAGGCATCACTGACCCGCTAGGGCCCATGGCAAAGGGGGGAATGCAGGGGGCTATCTCGGCTCGGTACCATTGCGAAACTCATCGGAGCTGGCCGCACTAGTGGACCGAAGCTGGTGCATGGTACTGTGGACGCCGAGTTTGTGGGACCGGTACCACTGTTTTTTTTTTCCGTGGCGCGTCAGATTACTTCCTGCGCACTTGCTCTCCGAGAAGGCTCTGGTCGGTTAGGCCACGGGACTGAAGGGGATATAGGGGAGAATAGCGAAGGGAGTGGGATCGCATGCCAGGTGTGCCCGGCGTCAAGCTGTTGCGGAGAGCAAGCAAGCTCAGGGTGGATGCATCACGCTCAGACGGTTACGCCGGGAGTGAGGGGAGAGCTGAGCGCGAACAAGGTGTTCCCACGACAGTGAGCACGGGGCAGATGCCTGGACGCTCGGGCGGTTACTCCGCGTGAGAAGGGAGTGACAAGTGAGGGAAGCATGCACGGTGTGTCGAGCACATGCAACGGGAGGAGGCAGTTGGCAAGCGGACAGATGCGTGCTAGGCGTACGCTGCCACCCCCCATCCAACGGAACAGCTAAAGCAAGAGAGCTCATTGCGTGCATGAGAAGGGGAAGAGGGAGTGTGTTGGAGAGAACCATGCCAGATGTGCGCAGTAAGCCGTAGGTGATCAGCAGGCGCATGTCTGCGCCCCAACTGATCGAAGGAGTCTTCTGCCAACAGATTCAGCTATAGCACTGGGTGCTGACCGGTGAGCCAGGCGCAGTCTTCAGTGCTCGACCCAGTTCCATCGCTGGTCGTAAAATGAAGGTGAACCCAGATGATCAGGTACGTGCCCGCAAACGTCAGCGGGACCAAAGACTCGTGTACTGAGGTAGAGAAGCAAATGAGGGAGAGCTGAATTAGGCTGTTGGAACATAAACATTTTGATATTTTTCTTTTTTTATTTAGTCGCTTTCTGGCGACGAACAGCTGCGGAGCATGCGGGGTTCATTGAGTGTCGAGGGGTCCTGGAAGAGGTCTGTGTCGCGTTTGCTCGACATGATATTAGGCAGATAAATTGTCAACAATTTCTATCTTAAACATTTCCGGCCACTTATCAGTTGCTTTCCGACGGGGAATAGTCATCGAGCACACAAGGATCAAAGAATCTCGAGCGGCCCTGAGGGAGGGCTGAATTGTGCGTTTGCTACGGAAATATGCAGTTTCTTGGTTGATTATCTCTGGCAAAACGTTTCGATTATCTGACTGTTGCCCTCTGACGGCGAACAGATAGTGAGCACGCTAAGTTCGCGCGAAACTTGAGTGCCCCTGGGAGAGGACTGCGACTGATCTCTTGCCAGGGTAGGACAGAGATTATAAGTGCGTTGACAATTGTTTTTCTTATGTTGGGAAAGGCAGTTCCAGCTCGCCATTTGCTGCTCTTTGAAAGTGAACCGTCACGAAGCATGAAAGAGGATAAATGAGGGAACACCACTGGCTACTGCATATCAGTTCCTCAAGATCGGTTGCGTTCAGTCCCCAAGAATCATCGGTCCGCTCACAACCAGGGGTAAGGAGAAGATGAAGAAACAGACAAGAGAATAAGAGCTCGCAAGGGAGAGAGAGGGAGATGGAGTAAATGAGTGACAGTGTGAGAGAGAAAGTAAGAGCCGTGTGACGAAGAGAAAGCTGACTGGGGAGAACTGTGAGGGTTTGCGGGGAAATAAACTCACTTCCTTTTTATTTATCTTTTTTTGGATAATTGTGAACGTAGCTCTGATTTGTTGTGTGATCATACACTCAGGTCACATTGAATCGGGCCTTGATTCAGGCTCGTGGGGACTTGGACTGATCGATGCAAAGCAAGCCCTGTTTGTGACATGCGGGTTACTTTCTTTGGTCCATCCCCTCTCTTACTATCTTACTATGAACTGCTGGTTGATTACATGAAGACTGTTTTGAGCTGAACTCTGAGTCAGCTGTCCGATTCAGAGAAATCTGCTTGAACCGAACGCTGAAAGTACCTGATCAAACCTGTGAAAAACCGCTTGGACCCGAACTCAAAAGTTTGTTGATTAAACCTGCGAAATCCATTTTAAGTCAAACTCAGAACTCGCTGGCTGGATCAGCGTGATCTGGGCCGCTCCCTGCTCAAGCGTGTGTGACAAGTGAAGTGCAAACTGATTCGCGGCAAACCTGCCCTGAAGAAGAGCTCTCGGGCATG